CTCTCCATCCCTCTCCTGGCTTCCTCCAGGGGCCTGGGTGGGCTCATGGCTGTGGAAAGAGCCACCATCCACACTGGGCAAATCCACAGTCCTGGGGATGCTGGGAAATGCTGTTTGGTGCCAGCCCTGCTGTGCCAGGGTCTTGCCAGGGGCGCTCTGTGGGCTTTCCACTCCCTTGGACCCTCAGAGGGAGGAAAGAGGGCAGGATTTTGCTGTTTGTGCATCCAGGAGGGGAGGGAGGCAGTGGAAGGTGGCAGGGAATGGGGGAACAGCAAAGGAGTTCAGTTTTCAAAAGCAAATCCCAAAGAAATCCCTGCTGCTGGATGATGGCGGGATGCTCCCGAGCCCATCTCCTCTGTTCTCCTTGGGCTCTGGCAGGATCAGGGGACATCCCTGAAGACACCCCATCCTCTTCCCAACATGAGCCAGCTGGGTTGACCATGTGTCAGTGCCAGCTTGTGCTTCCTGTTTGCTGCTCCAACAAGTGACAGCAGCCTTGGCCTGGTTGGATATGGCCAGGTCAGCCTTGCCTGTCCCCTCCTGTCCTCCTGTCCCCTCCATCCCTGTGCTGTGTCCACAGGGCTCTCCTGGGCTTTGCTGTGAAGGGAATGTTATTCCTATAGAAAGCATCTCCCCCCTGGAGAGAACTGGATGCTCTCCTGGGGTGCTGGACCCCGAGGTGTTTGTACCCCCCTTTCAGTCCGATGGGGACAACCCCAGGTCCCTGAGCTGGTCCCCAGCACCTCTGGAATGGGTGTTGGATGTCCTGGTCACTTGGGGACCTCTCTGTGCTCCGAGCCACCAGTCTGGGGGGTGTTTCTATGCTGGGGTCTTGCCTGAAGAGCTGCAAGAGCTTTCCTGGCCAGGGCAGCGGGGGGTTCCCTCTCCCCAGGGTTATCCTATCTCAGAGAACAGAAATTCTCCTGGGAGAGGCTCAGATCCCATCCCTGAGCTCTCCTACACCTCCTTCTGGGAGCAAATTGGGAAATGGTGGGAGAGATCACTGGGATAGTCAGGCTCTCAGCCTGGGGTTTCTTGGAGCAATTCAAGGAAGCAAAAGAGTTTGGGTGGTTTGAGGTTCCAGCCTCGTTGAAAGCTTCAGAGCAGGTTGTCATGTTCCTTGTTGTACTTGCAGGTGTGAAAAGCAGCCACACAGTTTTACAAATAACACTTTTCTAAGTATTTCAGAGAGTTGTCTGCAAATTGTTTTGGAGACTTTGTGTTTTTTATAGTGTCTTTTGCTGCTAATAAAAGCATATACGTTATCCCAGTGGATATCCCTGTTATCACACGTCATCCCCGTGAGGTTTAGGGGTGGAAAATGCCCCCTCGGGGTATCTGGAGCCTGTGGTAGCAGTGGAATGTGCTCCCTTGTGTGAGTGTCAGCCCTTGGGGATGGGCTGTAGCTGGTGGCAGACGTGGGAATGCTGGATTTATCCTGTTGCCCAGCTCTGCTGTGCTGGGAAGGGCATTTGCTGCTGCTGTGGGGTTCCTGTATCCCCATCCCCTCCCTCACCCAACCCCTGTGGCAGTGACAGCCTGAGACACTCAGCTGGGGTTAAAAACAACCCAACAACTCTGCTCCAGATCTGGGTGAGGGTATTTTTAACCTGTCTCAGTTCCCTGAGTCACGGAGACCTGGCACGACCCAGGGAGGAGCCGCTTCCCAAGAAGCACGGCTGGGGCTGCCCCAGGGCTAGCCTGGGAAGGGGGGGATTTTTGGGGAGGTTTCACCTTTGGGGTTCGTCTGGTGGCCTTTGGGTTTGTGCTCAGCAGCTGTTTGTGGTCAGAAAAGCACGTCTGGGCTGTAGGAAACACAGTGCATTGGAAGCAGCCTCTGGGAAAGGCTGAGTATAAAGTGTATAAAGTGGTGAGTTTAAACGTGCCCCGAGTAAATAAATCCCTGTGTTTGTATCCTGGAGTGTGTCAGATGTGCTAGGATGTACTTGGGGAAGAGATCTTGGCAGCATCCATCTCCTCCCATCCTTGGTTTGTGCCTTCGTGTCCTTCCTCCACCTTTACTACTGGTAAAACAAGTGGGCATTTCAAGTTACTACAGGATTACTCACAGTTCATGTCCGTATTTCATACTCCCACTGTGTGTATCTATGATTAATCCCTTACACAAATACCTGTATATTATATACAGGTGTTAGTGGCACTCTCACTAGTGGAGTGCTCATCCAACCACTCCAGGAGCCAGGCCAATTGCTGCTGGACAAAGTCTCCTGCAGGATGATCCATGTTGGAACCTGGAGTCAGGCCATCATTCCTGAGCAGGGTCGCAGCTCAGGTAGAGAAATTCCTGCAGGGAGAGGCTGGTTTTGGGTAGGAAGTGAGTGATTTTTGATGGTGTAGTGACATGAGGGGGTGCAGGATACCACTCCTTGGAGCAGATCTTTCTGTTGCACCTGGAAACTGCCTCCAATAATCCGATTTCCTGTTTTTCTCAGACCCCTTTTTGCTTCCCTGGGCCCTTTCTCTCATCCTCCAGCTGGAACAGCCAAGACCCTTTGCCTCTTCCTGCTTTCCCAGACTGTTGTCTACCTCTTTAAACTCAGTTTCCCTTTTCCAGATGATGTTTGTTGTTGCTGTTTCTCGGTTTCGTGCTCCTCAAGGGTGTCTGGGGCCGATCTTGAGCACCCAGTGGCACTTCCCGGATGCATCCTCAGGGGTGCTCTGGCTCCCGGGCTGGCAGTGCCCTGCCTGCCAGATATCTCAGCATCCAGGCATCTCAGCAGGCATCTTCTGCCAGGATGGTTCCTGTTACAGCCTTTCTGGCTGTTCCATCAGCTGCTCACACAGCTGTCACATGGTGCTGGCACCGAGTCCTCGGAGCGCATTTTGCCCGGGATGGAGCATTGTAGGGCCATGGGCACCAGGCTGAGTTGGGCCATCATGTTGAGCATGGACACCACATGGACCATGAACATCATACCGAGCGTGGACACCACGATCCAGCGAGGCAAAGGTGGCCAACAGTGTCCTGGGCTGCATAAGGAGGAGCATCACAGTGGGACCCGATGATCTCGGGGGGCTTTCTGAGCCTTTGTGATTCTGTGACACCACAGGAGGGGACCCTTTGCCTCTGCTCAGCACTGGTGAGTCCCCAGCTGGGGACTGGGTCTGGTTTTGGGCTCCTCAGCACCTTGGGAATATGGGCTGGTTGAAGAGAGTCCAGCAAAGGACCACAGGGATGATCCAGGTGCTGAAGGATCCCCCGTCCAAGGAGAGGCTGGGAGAGCTGGGGGAGGCTCAGGGGTCTCGTCAAGGGGGATAAATATCTAAAGGGGCTTGTAAAGGAGAGTGAGACAGAATTTTTACTGGTGCCACTGACAGGCCAAGAGGCAATGGGCACATTAATAAGGAAATTCACCCCAAATACAAGAAAACTGCCTTACTGTGAGGATGACCAGGAGATAACGTGGATTCTCCAGGGAGCTTGTGGCCTCTCCATGCTTGTCAGCATCCAAAAGCCTCCTGGCCACGGTCCTGAGCAGCCTCATGCCCTCAGCAGGTCTGGTATAGCCTGAGAGATCAAATCAACCACTGTTTTTTTTTAACCTTAATGATATTACAGGGAGGCCAGAGACTGCTGACAAGGGCTCAGCAAACACAAAGTCAATAAATAAATCAAATTTACTGTTCCCAGGAAGACAGAGCAGAAGGCTCAGGGATGTACAAACATGGCCCATGGCCTCCAGGGAAGCTCCTTTCCACCCAGCAATAATCAGAGATTCTTATGGGAGGGAGAAAATCCCCTTTGCAAAGAGCAGGACCCATCAATTCCTTTTCATTCCCCTTGGACTGGCTGTGAGGTTGCCCTGAGGGCCCAGTTGCAGGAATATAGGGGATGGGGGAAACCAAAAAAAAAAAAAAAATACTTAAAAAAGCCAGAGAAATGGTGAATTCTCCCCTCCTCTCTCTAATACAGGCACGATCACAGGTGCCAGCAAGAAGCTGAACATGACATAGACATCCTGGGTGTTTTGGAGATCCTTGGTACGTCCAGGGGTTAATTCATCCCCGACTCTCTCCGCTGCCCCATTTGCTCTGTGCAATTAGCAGTTGGCAATTAGCTGGTGCCAAGGCCATGCTGACCTCTGAGGCCTCTCGTGGTTTGATGGCCCTTAAACCTGCCAGACTCTGACCACTCAGGGATGAAGCTGCTGCTTGTGGCTTTCTTGTGTCCCAGTGGCCAAACCTGCCACAAGCCATCGCTTATCCGGGGCTGAAACCACGGAGTGCTCCGAGTCCAACCCCCTGCTCTTCATTTTAATGTCTGTTTTTCTTAAGCCTCCATCTTACTCAGCTCCTGATACTCATTGCATTCTCCTCCTAAGGCAGGTTGTTTGGAGAGGGGTCCGGGAAAAGTGATGAAAACAGGATTTCCCCCCATTTTCTTGATCCAAGAACTGTGATTTTTTTCCTACGTGGGAAGGAGGGAAGCAGGGGGGCTGAGATGTGAATGTGATGCTGCCTGTTCAAGCAGGAAAATCCAAGGAGGAAGAGCCAAAAAAAATAGAGTGGATAGGGATCCAGGTTCCTGCTGGCCATAAGGAGTGAGCCCTACCCTGCCCTGCCGTGTAGGCAGCACCCAGATCCTGGCCCCCCAAACCTCCCCGTGGGGGGCTGGTCCCCTGGAGATGCTGTCCCAGACTAAAGGGGACAGGCAGCAGAAGGGCCTGTGGATTTAGGGGGAGAACACCCCAAAACATGCCCTGAAGTCGCCTGCCCAGGAGGTGAAAAGTGACACGTGGATGGATGGGAAGGGTGGGGTGAGGTGGATGCTTGGGGTTACCCACAAATGTTAAATAAAGAGAGACTCCTGCAGCTGTTGCTAAAAGTGCTTCTCTACTTCAGGCCTTGGTTTTATGGAGAAAGGGGAAAATGTGCATTTGGCCTCCCCTGGGCCTGTTTTATTCAAAAACAAGGGCAAAAATGGGTTAATTTCATTGACATTTATTATGAATGTTGTAGAGGATCTGACACTGAGAGCCCTGAACCCACTAAACCTTGGGGAAGGCTGGGGTTGACTCAGCCAAGTGAGAAACACCCCAGAAGATCTCCATCAGCTGGGAATGATGTCCATGGTGCCAGTCATTTCGAAGGACCTGGAAGGAAGAGCAGAGGGGACACGCTGAGCACTGTTGGAGCCGGGCTCTGGCAGATCCACAGGGGCTCTGGTGTGTCCCTCTCCCTGCCCACCCTTGCACAAGACCCTACACTTGGCTGTGGGGGTGACTCTCACCCCTCTGTACCTCCAGTGGTTTTGGCTGGGGCAAAGAGAAGCTGGTCAGGAGGGTGTGATGGCCTGGGGGGCTTTCCTGCAGGGTACAGGGGGTGGTTAAACCCAAACAGCCCCAAGGTGTGGCTGAGATCCATCGTGCTGGGGTGAGAACTGCCCGAGGGCAGGGTGGGATGGGATATTGGGAAGGAATTCCTGGCTGTGAGGGTGGGGAGGCCCTGGCACAGGTTGCCCAGAGAAGCTGTGGCTGCCCCATCCCTGGAAGTGTCCCAGGCCAGGTTGGACGGGGCTTGGAGCAACCTGGGCTAGTGGAAGGTGTCCCTGCCCATGGCAAGGGGTGGGACCGGGTGATTTTTAAGGTCCCTTCCAACCCAAACCGTACTTGGATGCTGTGAAACCAGGTCTGCATCTTCCTTGGGGCCCAGGACTTAAACCAAAGCACAGGATAATTTCCATATGCCACTCTTTCCACTTCAAGACAGTGTGAATTCACGTGGAAAATGGGAACAGAGGATCTACCTCGCCTTGTCCATGGAAGAGACGTCGCGGTCCTGCCGCCTCCCCTGCGTCATGTGATCTGCAAAAGGACAAATCCCAGCCTCCAGGAAAACACGGGAGAGGCACCAGGGGCGAGGGATGGGATACTGTACTTGGGGTGTGGTGGCTGGGGCTCACCAGGGAAGGGACACAGGCAATGGAGAGAGCTCTTGGTGTCCTCACAAGAGCCAAATAAACCACTTTTAAATAATTCACGGGCTGCCTGACGGGTGGGGACAGAGGGAGCCCAGCTCGCCTGGCAGGAGGCACTGGGAGGGGCTGGGAGGTGATGAAGCAGAGTGGGATGAAGAGCTGAAGAAGACTCACAGCAGAGGAAGATGGTGAGGAGCGGGAGGCCCGACACGGCCGCCGTGCTGAGCACCAGGGGGGTCATGTCCATGAAGGCGGCACATCCTTCTCCTGCCACCAGAGAAACCCGGGGTCAGCACGGAGCAGAGGGACAGGCAGGAGGAAGGCAAGTTGCCACCGTGAAAACCCACACTCACACACACAAAAACGCAAAGTAAAAACAGATGGGGGGTGTTGAAACAGAACTTTGCTTCTGCAAAGATTTCGCTTCCCTGAAGCTCCTGGTTTGTTGGACTTTTTTTTTTCCCTTGGAGCAGGTTTGTCTCCAAGGGCTGAGTTGAAGGGATAGGGGGATTACATGAGTCGTAGCCTTGGGGTGGGGCATCTCCGCTCACCGTGGCGCTCGTAGATGCTCTTGATGAGGAAGGAGGCCATGAGAACCACCACGAGCACCGCCCCCGGAGCAGCATAGCCCATCGTGTACTGAGCTGCCCAGGGACACAGGAGAGAGGGGTGAGGTCGTGTTTCCAGAGGTGTGGGTGGGGATCTGGCCTCACCCAGGGTCTGGTGCAGGATGCACCAGCCCTGAGTTAGCACAGGGGTTTTCATTTTGAAAAGCTGAGGGTGAGGTCCCACCTTGGTGGAACCACTCACCTGTTTTGCTCTTCAGTTGGGTGAAAATCATGGGCTGGAAGATCACGTTGGTGGAGACCAGGAAGGTGACCACGATGAGGTAGGTCAGGGTGATCTCGGGCAATATGATGGCAACAGAAGGGCCTGAAAGGCAACAGGATGAGGCAGAGAACCTGCTCTTACACTGTCCACCTCCTTCATCCCTTGGTACCTCTCCGTCATATCCCTTCCCCTCCCTCTCCTGACTCCAAGCCTTTCCTTGCAAGCAGCCTCTCCATCCCTAGATGATTTTACTGCTCTTCTGTGACTCACCCTGGGAAAGGGCCCTGGGGAAAGGGGAATGGCTGCATTAGTTATACAGGTGGGTGTATAATCCACATGGTGGTCCAGCCCCACCCCCCCGACCTGGACATCCCACATGTGGAACACACAAATCGCTCCAGATGGATCTACCCTTCGTGTTTCCTGGTGTGACCCCCCCCCCCCTCCACCACTGCCTTCTTCTCTGACCCCCACGAGTCTCTGTATCTCCCATGGGGTCCTTGCCCCCCACTCCAAACAGCCCCACAGCCCCCTCCTACCTTCCTCCCGCATCCAGAGGATCCCGGCGGTGCCGTCCAGGATGCAGGCGACGCACACCAGCCCAGCAGTGTAGGCACTGAGCCACCTCCACAGGTCCCCACCTAAACACCCAGAGAGGGGGGGTGATGGCTGTGACCCCCAGGAGTCCCCTGTGCCAGCCCCCAGGGTGGGATGCACTGTCCCCACCCAGGTACAGGGGGGGTGTCCCAGGACCTGGGGGGGTCCCACAGCAATGCTCCTCCCTCTCTCCCACCAGCCGAGGGAAATGGGGGTCTGGCTCCCCCAACTCACTTATTCGGAGCTTTTCAGACTGGCAGACGGGGATGATTAATCCACAGGCCGAGACGACGGCGAAGACCACGGCGACCACTGCAATCCTCAGAGTGTCCTTCAAGGGGCGGGAGAGACCTGGAAAACAACCACCCGGATGGGACAGGAGTCAGGACACTGGCTGGATGGCTCTGGTGGCTACAGGGCTCCTCCATTACCAGGACAGATTCCATTTGTTTGCCTGCTGGTGGCCAAATCAGCACCATGAAATATCCAACCTGGGATGGGTACTGCCCACAGGCTTCCCAGACACCACCCCCTGCCCATGACCTGCTCACCATCACCTTGGCCAAGGGCCATCACTTGGGACCTGCTCCAAGAGGGAATGACCAATCTCCTGCCAAGGACTGTGCCTTGGTAGGATCAGAGATCAGGAATTGCTGCTGATCATCCTACAGTGGGGAGCTCCTGTCAACAACACGTGGGCACCACCTCACGGAGAGGGCGGCCAGACTGTGGGGGATGGAGGCAGAAGAATGGGATGGAGCCACTCAGGGATGCCCAGGGAAGGGTGGAGAGCAGGAGGAGCTACGGGAGGTGAAACCCCATCACCTGCAATGGTGATTTTCAGGGAGGTTTCTTGCCAGCTTATCCCGTTGCTGGCATTGCAGGAGTAGGAGCCACAGTCCGACTTCTTCGCCGGCCTCAGGTACAAAACGCTGCGGCTGTTGGAGAGGTGGAAACCTCTGTCTGGGGGAAGGGGCTGCCCATCCTTCTTCCAGGTGATGGCGTCCACTCTGCCCTCTGCCACCTCACAGACCACCTCACCAGTGGCCCGAGCCACGAGGGCACTGCTCCAGAGCCGAGGGCGGGACACGGGCTCTGGAAGGGAACAGGGACACCAGCACTTCTCTCAGACATGGAATCATGGAATGGTTTGGGTGGAAAGGGACCTTAAAGACCATCTCCTTCCACCCCTTCCATGGCCAGGGACACCTTGTACCACCCCAGGTGGCTCCAAGCCCCATCCAACCTGGCCTTGGACACTTCCAGGGAAGGGGCAGCCACAGCTTCTCTGGGCAACCTGTGCCAGTGAACATGACCTGGAGCATCCGTGATGGACACCTGGGCTGCAATTGTCACCACAGCATCTGCCACAGCAGTCACAGGTGCCTTTCCCTTGGGAAGTCCATCCTGCTGCTGTGCTTTCCAGGACTGGGGTTTGGTTTTTTCTAGCTGAATCATTGCTTTTAATGGACTTGGGTAAATATGGAGCATTTGGAAATGTGTCAGGAAATGAGAAAAAAGTGGAGAAGGCTGCAGATCCCATTCAGATTATGTGTGGTTGGAAGGAGAGGTGGGTGGGGCAGGGCTGTGGGAGCATTATGGCCACGGCATTATTAGCACAAGGACGGATAATGCCAGAGCAAATTAAGGGAATTGCCGGGAGCAATATTGAGGAGGAACTTCTGAGCTATTTCAAGTGCCTCCTATCTCTGTGGCAGCGGCTGGCGCCGGCACACAGCGAGTGTGGGGCCAGGGGGGGTTGAGGGGGGATTAGGACTCCTCCACAAAGCCCACCCTGCTGGGCTCAGCTCCATCAGCCCTACTGGCTGAACCTCGGCAGAGTGCTGCAGGTACTCTCTGCAGGTGGCAGTGGATGTGCAGCACCTCACTGGTCCCTCTGTCATCCCACCAGTCCCTCCATCATCCCACCAGTCACTCCATCTTCCCACTGTTATCCTACCCTCTGTTATCCCACCCGTTCCTCTGTCATCCCACCACTCTCTCTGATGTCCCTCCATCATCCCACCAGTCCCTCCATCCTCCAACCGGTCCCTCTATCCCTGGACTGAAGAGTGGAAAACAAAGGAGGGAATTCCTTCCCAGGATGGAGCCCAGCCCTCTGTCTCAGCCGGGCCCCCTAGAAGGTCTCCTTGGGCAGCATCACCAGATCTTCTCCCCTAGGACAGGGTGGGAGCCTCTTTCCAAGGTCTCCTTGGTGCAATCTCCATACATGGCAGGTTCAAACAAGCTCAGGCCTGGCCTTTTGCTCAGAATCCCTTCTCCAACCCCCCTGGTCTGGCCGATGGTCCATGTACAGTCAAATTGCACCATGGCTCTACCTGTACCCACTGCCCCGCTCCTCCCTCCCACACCCACCACTCACTGAGGACTTCCAGCAGGATTTCCAGGCTCTCTCTGTCTTCCCCGCTGACAGTCACCCTGTAGATGCCACTGTCGCCTTCCTGGACATCCTCCAGCGTGAGGGATCCATTGGATGGATGGAAAACAACTCGTCCCACGTAGGGCGCGTGGATGGCTGGGCTGTGAGAGCCCCCGGCGTGCTGCAGGATGGTGTGGGAGCTGGTGCCATTGGAGTATTCCCACCGTGTGGAATGGCTGTGAGGGACGTTATCCAGCCCAGGGAGCAGCACAGAAGATCCCACAGCAGCAGCAGCAGCTCTTCCCTGGGGGGGTCCTGCTGCTCCCACAGCCTGAGGCAACGGCACCGGTGGTGGCACTGGGGAGAGGGAGAGGGGCTGGGATGGGGCTGGGAGCAACTTGGTCTAGGGGAAGGTGTCCCTGCCCATGGCAGGGGGTGGAACTGGATTCTCCTACTTGAGGTTTTGTCATCCTGACCTAATTTCCATGGCTTATTCCCAGTTCAGAGAATCCTGGAATGGTTTGGGTCGGAAGGGACCTTGAAGCTCATCTCGTTTCGCCTCCTGCCATAGGCAGGGACACTTTCCCCTAGACCAGGCTGCTCCAAGTCCCCTCCAGCCTGGCCTTGAACACTTCCCTGGATGGGGCAGCCACAGAATTCCCAGTCGTGTTTGGGGTTGAACATGTCCACCCACTCCCAGCACTGGGGGATGCAGCCACTTCCCCAAAATTCCTGTGCTTGTCACAACTTGGGCTCTCACAGGTGCTCAAGGACTTCAAGAGGAGCTGCTGTGGGAAGGTCACAGCTCCCATTCCCCCTCCAAAAAATGAGGATTCTAGGAAAGCTGAGCAGAAATCAATACTGCAGCCTGATCTTGTAAAGCGGATTCTTTAAAAAAATCAGAAGGTGAGGTTAAAGGAGGGAAAGAGAAGGGGAAGAGGAAAAGAAGGAAAGAGATCCCAGTCCCTCTCCAGACACCTGACCCCAAACACCCTCAGGCACATTTCCCAACAAATGAGATGGGATGAAAACATCTTCCTGAGCCTCAGAGCCTGGCAGTGAGGGGCAGTTCTCACAGGGGGGATTCTCAGGCTACACAGCCTGTGTTTGCTCTTCGTGGTGTCTCACCTCCTGCCTCGATAAGCAGCTGTTCACCTGCATTCCCACTGCACCTCCAGAGACAGCAAACAGCCCTGGAAACAGTCCTGCTGCTCCCACTGGGCATTGTCATGGGGGATTTTGCAGCACAGGTGGGAAAGAAAATAGATGGGACAATCCAGGTAAATCTAGTTCACCTGGTGATTTTAATTTCTCATTCTTATGATCTTAGAAACCAGTTATTTTTGTGCCTTCCTGCCCCCCAAACTGTAGCTGTGGAGGGACAAAAAACAATTTAATGACTAAAACCCCCTTTTCTCTGGGAAAACACTGTTTATACAA